TTTGTTCAGAGAAATGATGTTACCTGAACGATACTTTATCAGGGCCGCCCAGCTGTAACTTTAAGAATACACTGAACTGGGGCAAGGCTGGAAACAGGTAGGTATTTTATGATGTCAGTGAAGCAGCTTTGAAGGCGGCTGAACCCTGTGACCCCAGGCAGAAGGGGAGACATTTCAGGGGATTTGCTGGTGAGTTGGACACCGAGGGTCAGGAAGGAGGAAGGTCACGGAACTGAGGGGCTTCAACCGAGACACCGGGGTGATGCCTTGCCACCCACTGGGGTGGGGGGATCATTGGATGAGAAGGGGTTTTACTTTTGTTAGTTTTTAAATATTTTTATTTGTTTTGAATGGGAAAGACTGAAAGTTTACTTTTGAAGAAGTTGAGTTGGAATAACTATTTTATTTCCAAGAAATGTGTCAAGGAGATGCATTCAGTTAGCTCATTAAATACCCAGAATTCCTTAAGCAATGGGAAATGTGGGCCTTGGAGAGGGCAGGACCCAGTGGAACCCGCGTCCCCTCCCCCTGCCTTTATTCCTCCTGGGGAGTGACCTGCTCTTATCTCAGCAACTCCGTGCTCAGGCTGTTCACAGAGGTTTCCCTGGAGGGCTACAGGTCATGTCTCCAGGGCACAGGAAGGGGCACAGAAAGCAGTGCCTGGAGGGCATATTACCGCACATTACTGCAAATAATTCTCTCTGGCAAACTAAGGCCAATTTGACAGAATGTGTGTTGTTATAGAAGAAAGTGATTAGCATAAATTGCAACTGTGATTTGGAATGCCTAATTACCTCTAATTTGGTTGTGTTCCTGACTTTAATTTTTTAACATTTTGAGCAGAAGTTAGGTTTATTTCAGATAGCATCATCTGGTTCAGTCGGCGTCACAGAGCAACAGATGATTCATTAGAGGTCTTTGTTGAATCTTATTTGCTTTCCTCAGCTAGCATTTAAAATTTTATGTATTTAAAATATTCTGTTTTGTTTGTTAAAGCTCGGCACACCCTTCACTTGGCCTCTGTTGTGGAAACTGTTCTCTGTGGACACTAAGTTCAGTGTTTTCCATTACTAGAGTCCCTGGGTTGCAGGCAGTGTCCTCACCAGGACAGTTAACCAGTAGCAATGGTGAGCGGTCAGCGTGATGATTAGTTGGAAATTAATATTCTATGTGAGTGTGGACTTTACATCCAGATATAACATCGACCAGTATCGCATCGTTTTGATGCAAACTAAAAACTGTTCTCGTCCTGAATAACGAGCAGAGCAAGCCCTTCCTCCGAAGGCGGCTGCACTGCCTCGGCTTCTGTGGGGATGGCCCACTGCTCACTGTGGCCGCTCCTTACCACGCATCTGCCGCTCGGGATCTCTGCACCCCGTTCCGGGTCCTGCTGCTTATTAGTGCCGCCCCTGAGGTCCTCCCCAAGAGCCCCGCAGGTCCCCCCTGGCGGTGGCGAGGGGGCCTGTCCTGGGCAATGGTGTGGCTGGGGGACACGCGATGGCTCAGTGAAAGTCTGCAGCAAGAATGTGCTCAGATGCGTCGGTCACTGGGGGATCTGGAGAAGTCAGGCTAGCCAGAGCTCCCATTGCCAGGGAGATTCCTAGGCCATTGTGGAGAAAGCCTGTTGAGCAGGATGATACGGCCTCTTTATGCACTCAGAGTGACAGCCTCCTTCCAAACACTGCCTGTGGCTTATTTTTATAGGAATTTGACTTTTACTTTGAGTTTTGGGTTCCAACTTTACAACTCCAGGCTTGGTCTATATCAGCTAAAACTTTTATTCCTGTCCTGACCTCAGCATATTGATACATGTGCTCTGCTGTGGTGTGTATGTGCCTATGTGTCTGTGTGTGCATGCATTTGTGTGTGTCTGTGTGTGTCTGTGTTTGTGTGTGTGTGCATGCATCCCTGTATGTGTGTGCATGAGTTTTTGTGCACATGTGTGGAGGCATGCATATGAGCCATGTGTGTTGTATGGGTGTGTGTGTGTCTGTATGCCTGTGTTTGTGTCTGTGTGTATGCATGCATCCCTGTATGTGTGTGCATGAGTTTTCAGGAGTTTTTGTGTGCAGGTGTGGAGGCATGCATGTGGGCCATGTGCGTTGCATGGGAGTGTGTGTGTGTTTGTGTCTGTGTGTGTGTGTGTACATGCATCCCTGTGTGTGTGTGCATGACTTTTTGTGTGCATGTGTGGAGGCATGCATGCGGGCCAAGTGTGTTGCATGGGGGTGTGTGTGCAGGTGGTTTCTAGGATGTGGGAGGGAGGTTGGAAGGGAACGTAAGTGCTGGCAGCTCCCTGCCTGACTTTGATGTGTGTTCTCACCACACCTGTGAGGATATCTCACCATTGCCTCCTGCATTTACTCTCGCACAGAGAGAAGGGAAGGCGGAAGAGGCACGGCTGCTTCCTGGGTGGCATGAGAAAGGTCTGGACCCTGTAAGAGCAGTAGGCATTTGTGTTTTGGGGTGGCCTCAGTCAACAATTAAGGAAATGCCTCTGAGCTCCATCCTGCAGGAATCATTACCGAGAACCCTGGTGGCCCTTCCTTGTCTTTGAGCCTGAGAGCTGTCAGTCATAGTGACTGGCAGGGAGGGTGAGAACCATGGCCCCAGGAGAAGCAAGGAGAGAGGCTGGGACCTGGGGCCTCTCCCAAGCCAGGCAAGCAGGACCACTTTCTGGCTTCCACGGGCTGCGATGTCCTGAGGAAGCCTCATCGCTCAGCTCCTCCCATTGTCAAGCCCACACGCCTGGGCTCGGGACTCAGTGCTTGCTGCCCTGTGGCAGAGCTGGCCCTGCTTCCCTCTACGTGCAGCGGAGTGGGGGATGCCCACCTGTCATCAGGCACCCATGTGTGAGAGTAAGTGCAGGAGGCAATGGTGAGATATCCTCGCAGGTGTGGTGAGAACACACATCAAAGTCAGGCAGGGAGCTGCAGGCACTTACATTTCATCCTGTTTCACACTGGTTAGCTAGAATTCTGTGTTCCCAATCGGTGTTCACTTATAAGAGTTACACGTTACACACGCTCATGGGGAAAATACTGAGGAGGGTCTTCCTGCCCTTAGGGACACGTCTGCATTTCTTCATCTCTCCAGTGAGCTCAGCCCCGCGGTCAGGCAAGCCTAGGGGTCAAGCTGCAAAGGGCCAGGGGGCCTGGGTCCAGCCATAACTGGGCTTCCTTCCCAGCTGCCCTTGGTGCCTCCACAGGCACTGCCCCTTACAGAGACCTGGTGGATCCACAGATGGCCCGTGAGCTCCCAGAGCCACAGCAGCACTCCCAGTTCCAGCGCCCACCTGGTCTGGCAGTCTCATCCGTGTACAGCCCCCTGGGGTCGGCGAAGTGGGTGGGAGCACACAGCGCCCACAGGGATGGGAAGAAACCATTAGAGTTTCCGCTGGGTGCAGTTTTACTTATGCTGGTGAGGTGTGGATTGTAGTGGCCGGTCCCTGGGCTGCCGGCCAGATGGTCACGTGTGACAGTGTGTGCGAGCACAGTCCTGCATGTGTGGTTGTTAAATTAACAGATGCAATGCAGTGGGGCACACACTCTTTTTTGTGCTGTGTTGATTGAAAGCAAGAGGAAACCACTCGGAACCCTCCTGAAACTCTCCTGCGCGTGGGGATCAGCTGAGGATGTTGGGAGGAGCAGATTCTGGCTTGGTTGGCAGCTTCCCTCGGCGAGGGTCTGTGTTTCCCGTGAGTGCTGAGGAGGCACTGTGGAAACAAGCCTGACAAACCCTTCCTACCCATCCGTGCTACTTAATAGAGGCGTTTGATGAGTTGGTTTTTAAAAATCCTTTTGCTCAACCTGGGTCTCACCTGGTGAACACCAGATCTCTGGGGCAGACGCAGGTGCTGGGGCTCCTTGGACCACCTGTTTGGTTCTCACGGCAGCTGAGTTGTAGAGCTGCAGGGTCCTATGTGGCCACGGCCTCATCCTTCACCCGCGGGGACCTCCCTGTCCGTGGGCCAGGCTCTGCCCTCATGTGTGGCTCTGAATGTGAGGGTTGATCAGCACCGGGGCTCTAGGCAGTGAGGATGGTGGGGTCTCAGCCCTCCTTGCTGGGCCACTGGCCTCCAGATGTGCCTGCCCCGCTCCCCTGCCACGTGGCGCGAGGACTAAGTGCCCTGGCTCTCGCCTCTGCTCCTGCACTCCGGAGGCTGGGTCCTGACAAGGCACTGGGCATGCGGCTGGGCATAACCGCTATCCTGTGGGATGCCCAAGCCCTGTACCTGGCCAGTGGTCCGCTCTGGAGCCCCCAGGGCAGCTTTCCCTGACTCTCCCCGAGGAGGAGGCAACGTTTCTAATGACCCAAAGGTGTCTTTCTGAACTGTGCTTCCTTCATCTGCTAACAGAGCTGATAGGTTTATCTTCTATGACTAATTACACGTCCCTCCTGATCAATACTTCCCAGCAATTCCACACTGTGTTGCTTGCTGTCCGGGAACAACAGGCCAGGCCCATTCCGCAGCCCTCAGAACACAGCGGCAGCCCCTGCAGGAGCTTGGGCCACGCCCACCTGCCCACTTCTGAGAAGGCCGCTTCCTCCTGGGCTGTGGTTATTCCCAGTGTGTTCCTTTCCTACTCCAGGCCAACAAACCTTCATACAGATATTTTGTGAGTCTTAAAAACTATCATTTTTATTCAAATAACTTTAGTTAAACTAAAAAATATGTATATTTTTGGAAGTGGGAAAAATTGATTAAAATACTATAAAACCTTTCAAGTTAAAAAAAAAAAAATGCCAGGCTAATTTTCTTTTAAAAACACGCCTTATATAAATCCCACAAAAACTGCTCAGGAACAATTATTCAACACTTTATTATTTTTTGCATAAATGAATCAAATCCTTATCGGTCGAGCACAGATTTCCTGTGCACACGTGAGCGCTACACGTGCGTTTTAGGAAGAGTCTTGAGCAGGAGGCTTGCGTCACCCGTCCCCACCCCTGGCTCCTGCCCTCACACCATTCTTTGTGTTTCCACTTTGTTCCTACAGACGAAAACCGCTGTTGCTCTGTTGTACGATGAAGAGTCCGAAAATGCCTATGACGTCCGGCTGAAGCTGACGAAAGAGGTGCTGACAATTCAGAAGCAAGACGTCGTCTGTGTGGGCGGAAGCCACCAGGGCAGGAATGTAAGTGCCGCCACTTCAGGGAAGTCTCGGAGTGTTTCAGAGGAGCCCCATGAAGGGTCTTTGAAAAGTGTGGTTCAGGAATGATTGCTGAGCAAAAGTTGTTGCCTGTTATGTAAATATCCACAACTACTGGCTTTGACTGTGTCACAAAATAAAATACAGTTTTTAAGGTTGTATTATTTACTCTCTCCCTGACTTTCTTATTTGCTAATACATTTTCCATGTAAAGCTTATGTGAAAAATATCCCCAATCCTGGCGCGTACCTGTAATCCCAGCTCTTCAGAAGGCTGAGGCAGGAGAATTGCTTGAATCCGGGAGGCGGAGGTTTCCGTGAGCCGAGATCCCGCCACGGCACTTCAGCCTGGGCGACAGAGCGAGACTCCGTCTAAAAAAAAAAAAAAAGCCCCGAATGCCCCCATGTGAGATGTGGAGTGTTCTCCCTGGAAACCGGAAGGGAGCCACAGGGTGACTGGTGTGCTTGCCGGAAGCACAGAAGCCCCAGGGTTTCCGTCTGCAATGGCCGTGAAAGGCAAGGCGGTGGGTGTTCCGGCATTTGGGGCCACCTTGGTCGCCGTGCATCTGTGGATGGAAATGTGAATTTTGATGCTAAAACAAGGTCCTTCTTGGCTGCAATTATATTCCCAACTGACAGATGAAATTTCCTTAAGGGTAAGAAATGTATTTATCAGATGCGGCAGAATAGTGACTATTGGGGATTTTGTTTTGTTTTGTTTTTGCAACTTTTATTTGAAAGAGGACTACTGCAAATCAAACATACTGCATTGAAACTGCAATCATTTTGTCAGTTCCTAATTTTCCTTCTAGTAGGGGTAAATAATTTCAGATATATGTAGTGTCATCTTTAGTCAGAAACCTTTCGTTGCTCTCCTTTAAATACGTCTATTAGCTGCAAAAACTGATGTTCAAGAATCATGTAGTTGAAAAGAAGTTCTTTTCAGTGTGTTCTTGAAAATATTCCCCAAACCATTTCCATTCCTATGTTCTAGGCTGGCCCTTTCTGGGGGCATAGGCTTAGGAGACCCTGTGTTTATTTGGTTTTCTCAGTCCTCCTGTCCTTTACCTTGGAAATAAAATGAGGTGGGCATGTCCCCCCCCCGACTCACAATCCTGTGATAAGTGTTTCCGAAGAGCTGCAGATGTTAGCAAAGTGTGACGGGTTTCCCGAGAAGGTCCACAAAGATCCCACCGTAAACCGTTCTGGTGTAGATGTGTATCGTGTACAAGTGCCCCTGTGAGCATCCTGGCCCACACCTTCTGTTTGGGGCCCCTCCTTCTGTGGCTGGCACCCAGTCCACCCTCCTGCTCCCCCACATGTCCCCTGTGGCTCAAGGAGGCGAAGGTTCTGGGATGGGGGGGCAGGGTCCCCCTTTCGGTTGCTCTTCCCTGGAACCCCAGCCCCAGCACCACATCCCAACATATGCCCTCTTCATACTGCCTCCAGGACTGCATGTCTTTGTCCGTTTGAGTTACTGTAACAAAATGCCTGAGCTGGGTAATTTACAAAGAACAGAAATGCATTGCTCACAGTTCTGGAGGCTCAGAGCACAGGATCAAGGTGCCCGCAGATTGGGCGGTCTGGTGAGGGTCTGCTCTCTTTCCAGACGGTGCCTTGAACGCTGCATCTTCCAGAGGGGACGATCACTGTGTCCTTGTGTGGCAGGAGGAGGAAGGGGTGAGATTTTTCAGCCAAGCTTTTGTGTGAAGGCACCTGACCCCATTCATGAGCTCACAGCCCTCATGGCTCGGTCACCTCCCACAGCCCACACCCCAGCACCACTGCCCTGGGTAGGAAGTTTCCACATGAGCTTTGGAGGAGACAGACATTCTAACCCTGGCCTCTGCGTTCCAGAAGCCATGGTCAGTCTTCACGGGCTCATGCAAGAGTCCCACAATTCTGAGGCTTTTTTCTTCCCGAAGTGTAGATAAATCTCCTGTCTGCCTTTATGTAGTCTAATTACTAACCATTATGTTTTTTCCTCCACTTGTTCTAAATACCTAATAAGAGTGGGCTTCAGCAAAGAAAAAAATCAAGGAAGGTTTTGTAATCATTTTAAACTTACCCTGCTTAGTAGAGATTTTTAACTATAGAAAATCTCGAAGTAAAAACACTAAATGTGTTTGTGCTGTATTGGCTAGAAAAAAATAAATTACATTTTAAAAGTCTATAGCATCAGATTCTCTACCGAAAGTTAGGTTATTGGTGAACATGAAAGACTGCTTAAGAAAAACAGGCATATGCTCGTACTTGTAGACTTATACGCATACAGTTTTATACCATTTTAGGTGAATTATTGACACCTAAAAAGCCCGTGGATCTAATGTTAAGATCCCTGCTCTACGAGAAGCGGGGCCATCAGAACACTCAGGTGCCTGGTCCATTTCTCAGTGATCTTTGCTGCTTCCACATGACACCCTCCTCCTTAGAGATGAAGCGAACACGTTTGTGAAAACACATGCGCACCTGGGCTGGATAATTGAGGGGAAATACCTGGGCTGGAAAATTGAGGGGAAAGGGTTTATGGGAAAAGTATAACCCCAGAAATTGAGGTCAGATTTTTTTTCTTCTTGCTTTTTGAGACAGGGTCTCGCTCTGTCACCCAGGGTGGAGTGCAATGGCGCAACCTTGGCTCACCGTAACGTCTGCCTCCCGGGTTGAGGCGACTCTCAGATTTCTTTTAGGTACAGAATTTCAGGGTTTCTGTCCCAGGCAGAAAATCATATTGGGATCAACCCCATTAGTTTGAGGGATAACTGAAATCCTGCACCTTCCGTTGATTATGAAAATAAAGCCATTTTACCATGAGAAGTTATCAGGTGTTTGGAGATTGGGAAGGCCTACTTTTAACAAAGGTCACAGCTGTTTCTAGAATTAGAAGCAGAGCACTGCGGGCGGCCTCAGAGCCCGGTGACAACCCTTTCGTCCACATCAGGGAGGGTTTCCCACGTTGGCCCCCAGTGAACCTGACTGAGAACAGTTGTTTTCCGTTTAAAATAATTTTGAAGAGCAGAACTGGAAGACCTAATCATTGCACAATTGATTCACAGAGAAACCTAAGTGGGGGATTTTTATCTCATGGACTATGGAGTCCCTGCGTGGAACCCAGGAGATGAAAAATTCATCATCAGATTCAGCTCAGCATAGATTTATTGAGTACACAAGATAAGTATTAAAGTCAAGCATATCCGAAACCCTAGATAATATTACTAGTAAAAATAGTTACAAATATGAATTCTTTTATTACCACATGCCGTTACTTTTCTAAGCATATTTCATATTGTAATTCGCTTAAAACCTCCACATCCTGATGCAGTAGACACCCCTACAGGCCCCCTAGTACAATGACTTAGCCTAAGGCTGAGGCTCTTACCCTGAAGGGACCCTGAGGTTGGTAGCCTGCTCATTCGGCCCCTAGGATTGCTGGTGTGTCTGCCACTGACTCCGCGTCCTGGAGAAGACGCCTGCTGAGTCTGCATGTTACTTTGAATGTCCTCACTGAACTCGCACGTACAGTTCCGACTGGCATTTTAATTTTCAGATTGTTTTTTTCTTTATAGCAACTAATAGTTAATTTATACGCTCTGAGCCCTGTTTTCAGTGGGAGGTTCACTCTCACTTCAGCACCTGCTCTGCAGATGGGCTTGGAAGGAGTTTGGGTCTCCTGAAGCCTACCCCAACATTCCCACTGAACTCCAAACCTCTGGTTACATTTGTGTTCTCACCTGAACATTGGAGAAGACAAAATTAACGGGTAGATGTGTGTTTTGTTTTCTTGAACCTGCTGAAAATAGAACCACATTATCCATTAGTGATAGACGACCATAGAAGGAAAAGAGCAAAACTAGTTTTACCTCTAACAAAGCCAACAGGTCTCTAAGTTCTGGCCGCGTATCCTGCGGCAGGGAATCTGAATCGATGTACTGTTTTACTTCCTGTTCCTTTATACTGACATGAAGTGTGGGTGCCCAAGAGTCTCAGGATTCCGTCTCCCAGAGACAGTGTGGGCTTTCAGGAGGGGAGAGCCGGCTTCCTCTTCCCTTTCAGAATTCCCATTTAGATTGCTTTATTTTTCTATAATTGTCATTGTGCGTTAGATGTTCTTTTAATTGATACGTCTATGGTGGTAATTGGAATTAATGTGGTGGGACGCTGTACATTAAACTTGGTACGTTAGGTCATGGTAGATTCACAGTTGGAAAGTATTTTAGAAAATTTTACTTCTTCATTTTACTATGTAGGAAATTAAGATTCAGGAAGAAGGAGGTGTGGTTCTAATAGTACAAAGTTACCCACAGAGTTAAGACAGCACTGGGCACAACTCTGCTCATTTACAATCTAAGGGATGCACTCTGATAAATTAGTGAAGACTGCACAAGAAACCGGCAACCACAAGCAGCGCCAACACAAACAGTGTTGGGTGACATTTAAAATCACAGTTCTAAACTGTGATTTTAGAACTGTGATTTTAATTTGGAATGAAGAATTTAAAGTCTCTCAGATTGTTGAATGGATCACGACACTTGCAAACATGTAGGAGTTTATGATAAATTCTATATACAATATACAAAATTCTACACTTGTTTCTCATAAAGTCAATATTTCATGACTACTTTAATTTATCTAAATTTATATCTGTATTTCCCAAGTTGCTTCTTATTCTTTGGGTGCAAAATCAGGAGTAGACATCACTTCCATTTTACTTTTTTTAGATTCTAACCTTAATCTTTATTATTTTGCGTCCTTAAATGTAGACAAATGATCAATTCCCCTTACAATATTTTATAATTCAGCCAAAATACAAGTAATTTAGTAGCAATCCTTTTAAGCTAATCTGACACTTTATCAGCATTACATATTTTTTCTGTTGATAACTTTATTGACAAATATTTATTAGTTTGTTAACTCTTCCATTTTTCTCAGATCCCAACACAAAATGTATTTCTTTACAGTTTCTGAAAACCAGTCTCTGTGCTTCTTCAT